TTCTTCAAAGCCATTGGTCGAGGTGATGTCCGTAGCAAGTTCAAATTAGTTTTTGCCGATAAATTTGCAAGAAGCTTATGATATGGCAAGGTATTTGCAGCTGCGGACAAAAACCCAGGTTTACGTGACAAACAACCCAAGTAAAATTTTATGTTTTATGAAATACTACAAAGCTGCGGACAAAAACCCAGGTTTACGTGACAAACAACCCAAGTAAAATTTTATGTTTTATGAAATACTACAAAGCTACTATAAAAAAACATTCATAAAACCCTGGTCAAGACTGCTTTTCCATTAATGCATCCACCAAAACCTCATTGATGCTAGAATCTGTCTAGTTGGAGAAAGTTCTGAAAGGTGTATTTTCGAAGCTCTTCAAGATTAATTTACTGCAAAATCGTTGTATGATAAACGCATTGAGAACCATTTCAAAACCGTATTTAAGCTACAATGAAAGTTATTTAGCAACAATTAAAACCATTATCCGAGCCATTTACCCCAGCCGCTTGCTAAGTCCACTAGAAAAACAACAATGAAGATAAAAAAGGATTCATAAATACCATTCGATCTTATCAAAATAATTAAAATAAAAACTGATTGTATAAAAATCCCGTCGAAATTCCAAAATTATGAAATAATTCTCATGAAGTCTAGTTTTAGGTGCCATCTAAAATTTTATGTGAAACATGCGTGAAAACATCGAAAAACTTGAGTCCGCCCTAGGAAACATCGATTTTACTAATTATTTAACATTGTAAAAAACAAACAAAATCATTGTAATATGGCGGAGGCATAAAAGTTGATTATCATGGGCCATTTGTGAAAAAGTCTTTTTGCCTACAAGAAATCCCTAACAAATTCATATGGTTTTGAAATGGCTTTTATGAAGGAATTTTGTAGACTGAATTGTATTTGTCTAAGGCCATTTTGCTTGATTCTAACCCGTTCAGATTCATGGCGGCAATGTTGCCTACAAAATGTTAAACGTCAAAGTTAGTTTATCTTTCGATAGTTGCGCTGTGCGATCCAGCGTTCTTCTAGGCGATTCTCTCCCGATGGCGTGGAAGCAGCTACTCAGAAAGTGTGCGATACTGTTTTACAACATTTCGAATTTCGCACAGCTGCAACCTCAATCATTCCCGAAAAAGATCTCCTTCTTCCGGATGGTTCTGGAAGTACACCATCAAACGATGCAGGAATGTACGGTTGAATGAAATTTTTCGAAGAGATGGTCCTTTCGCCGAATAAAATCGCTGCTATGGATCAGTGGTTTGCTGTCGGTACTGACGCAAGTTATTCCGATCGTCATCTATTCGCAAGGTCTGGAGAAGGCTGGTCTGTTTTCAGACTGTTTTGACAATGTTTTATGAATTTGAGGACCACGCACAGTTCACTTTCCTCCACCGGATACTCAGTCGTTGATGGTACCCGTTCAGTCGAACGTGCTGAACGTGCTAAAGAACTAAATTTTACTGAAATCGACTTCCCTTCGGTCGTTAGCATCGCTTGAATTTTTCATCCTACATCGTTTATCCTTCAAGATATCCTTGTCATATGTTTGGCTTTTATTCACTATGAGAATTCATCTTTAAAGTTCAATTTGTAAACAGAGGAGATTTTATGAAACAGTTTAAGGGGAAGCTTACCGGCCCGAAAATAAAAAAAAAATATTTTCTGTACGTTTTTATTTTTCTAAAAATGTTGGGAAAAATTATCAACAATCCAAGAAAATCAGTTTTTTCCTTAGATTTTTGTCAAAAATTACATGTAAAAATATTTTTTCTATCTCATTATGAAATGTTTTGTGATGATTTGTGGTTTTTTGAGTCCAACTTTATACCATAATGGCTGATAAAAAATATTTTTGCACGTGAATTTTCTTTGGAAAATTAGAAAAATATGTGATTTTTTTTAGATTTTTGATACCTTTTTTCAATATTTTTAGAAAAATCAAAACGTAATTATTTTTTTTCGAAGCGGTGAACTTCTCCATAAAAAGCCTAAAAAGCAAAAATATATGCATTTTGCTCTCATTTAAAACCTAATGGTTTTGTGGTTGCTTTTATAATGATAGAACTCGTTTATACACACTTAGAAATTTTTACAGAAATCTGTAAAATTTTACCGAAATCTCAACAGCTGAACGTTCGGTAAACAGTTTTGCAGATTTCCTGTAATTTTTCACAAATATCTGTGAATTTTTCACAGATATCTGTAAATAATTACAGGAAAACTGTAAAATTGTTTACCGAACGTTCAGCTGTTGAGATTTCGGTAAAATTTTACAGAAATCTGTAAAATAATCCTAGTGTGTAGAGTGTTTTATCAAGACATTAATAAAAAAAATCGCTAATGAAGTTTATGATTGATTTATAGAACATTTTTATGGTGGGATTGAGAGCTAATTTAAAATTGATTTTCAAACAAGACAGTTTTTGACTTCTCGCCAGACTGTAAAAGGGTACCATAATAAATCAGAGTGAATGCCAAATGATTGCAGAATTGTTACTTGGAAAGAATATGGATTCTATAATGTACAAGCAGGAATGCTTGAAAAAACGTATTCTTCCGTATATTAAGGCTCACAATGAACCTGTAATGTATAGGCTGCCACGACAATTTCTTGTTTCGACGACATGACGGAGTAGCTACTAACGATATGTGTGGTTATCTATGCTGAATCTTAAGATAACGAAGGCTTTTTTGTAGCTATTTTGGTGGATTTATGACTATTTTTTCCGTATTGTAGACCGTTTTGTTGTAAAGTTAATTTGAATATCATTTACTCCTCATTAATACTGGTGTACACACTAATGCAGGCCTCCGCTGTTCGGTAATTTTTGAACTATGGAACTGTTCGGTAAAGGTTTAAAAATCAATGGAAAATAAAAATAGAAAATTTATTCCGAACTACACGAAACGAAAATCAATTATTTTATCCATGTGTTTCACTTCAACTTTTTTGCCAAAACATCAGCCTTACACATTCCATAAGACAAACCACATAGGTCCTATAAGAATGCATAAAATGTATGTGTGACCGCTTATACATTTCATTTGACACATGATCTTCATAAACTTTTTGCAAGGCGTCTGCTCATTAGTTGACTTATACATTTTATGAATAATCAGCAATAGAAATTTGCCAACAGGTATAAGGAGATTTCTATCCGTGTAGTACAGATTTTGTCAGTTAACACCATTTATTGATTTCTTACGTTGTAACGGTAATTTGAAGTTGTTCCGACTTTTTCAGCTGTTCAAAAACTCGCTTAAATTTTACCGACTTTGGAGATATGTTATTTCTCATGAATACATAGTTCATGCTCTTAAGATTGTCAAAATTTCCATTTCGAAACCCTCGTTTCTAAAATAATTGACTTATGCCTGGTAGCATGTTACACTCAATTACCTTCCAAATTCAGGTTTATCATGTTTTCAAGAAGCCTTTTGCTTGTGCCTTGAATTTTGCTGGATTCCACTTATTTATTCATCCAAATTCGATTTATTTTCACCAGCTTGCTACCCGTATTTTATTATAATTTAACCGTTTTCGGAATCTTAGTAAGCAAACAGGATCCAACTCGCCCACAAAACGAAAGAACCGAACGAAAACCCATTTCCTGTCTCCGCTCCACCATTACTGCACTCGTCCACTTCAAACGCAGCAGCGAAGCATAGCGGGAATCTTTTTCCCATTTGTCCTACTGTATGTGTGGACCATCCTCATGTTGTTAGGGTTACAATTCTTAAAGGGCGCCCAAAAGCGGGCACGCATTCTCCGGAGAACGGCAACCGTTTTCAATAGCAATAAAACTATCATAAATATAAATTAAATCGTAATCCGCTTTCCGTGCCCGCTTGACCCGATCGCATCGGCTTCGTCGTGGCACGATTCGGATTCGGGGCTCGCTCTACTCGACGTGGACGTGGTGCGTGGGTTGCACTTCGAGCGGCGTAGACCGGTTCGCAAAGATGACATGTGTTTGTACTATTGTGTTTTTTGTTTAATATGAGAGTCAGGGAGTGAAACGACATCTATATGTTGTACATGTTTCTTACAAGAAATGCTAATCTGTATTTGCGGATTTATACAAAACTGTAACAGAATTTTACATTCCCGGTTTAAGGGGTAAATCTTCTGTTCATAGTTCCGGTTTGTTTGAGAAACTCATGCCGACCAGTCTAAATGCACAATGCCAACAATGCCGAGTGACTCAACAACCGGACTGTTGAAACATAATAGAGAGCCACCGTCGCACACCATTCATTCTCTTTTAGATTTAAAACAACCAAATGCAACGTTCCACCAAACTGAGCCAAACTGAATTGACAGGATAATTAACTGTAATTGCTGTCTCCTGGCTCTAGCTGCTGCTTGTCAACTTAATACTCATTCCACTCTTCCGTCCAGTAGAGCTTTCATTTTGAAACTCTCCGGTTCGAGAATTCCTGAAAACCTACTTGTCTTGTCGTCAAAGGTAGATACTTGCGCATATTCCTGTTCAAGCTTTTAATAACCTTCACAAGGGGAGAACCTTGGTCCGTGTCTTGGAGAGTGAAGGAAAATTTATAAGTTCTTGACTTTTTGCCCTTTCACGGTGCTATTGAGAGTAGGAGTCAGCGCTCATTGGCACTGGCATTCGAACTGGCGAAGTAGTTGCTATTGCTGCTGCTTTCCTGCTTTATTGCCTTCGTTTCAAGTACTGCAGTTGACATCGACCTAATTTATGGAGCGCTGTTGTCTGAAGGTCTGCTCTGAACACCCCCACTCGGTTTCGGCTTTATAGTTCCCGGGAACACGCTTTGAACAGTGGGTCACTGCTTGTAGACCAAACAGATTCACCAAGTGTGCATAGTGAGTAATTTGGCAGCAAGTAAGATTTATGCGCTTCAAATTGGGTGGATGTTGACAGGAGTTCTCATTTTGGGAATTTTAAATCAACACATGACAGGGTTGTGAACAATTTTTATAGCATTGCATATGGACTGGTACTTACTCAAGTTGTTCAACATTTAGCGGGGAATCTGTAAGCAAAGGAGAGAAGGTAAACATTAGTATTATTTTTTTTTAATTTTCTGACTCTTGCGACATAAGTACAGGGCTGGTAGCAGGTCACTTTTTAGTGACTTGGTCACTATTTTGAAGCCAGTCACTAAAAAGTCACTTCTTACACCAAACAGTCATTAAAGTCACTATTTCCCTAAAAATAGTCACTCTTTCATTACTAAAATAAAGCGAAATTTAAAAATATCAACAAAATGTTTAAATTGAGTATTTGACACTAAGAAAGTCTACAGTAGTTTAAACAAAATATACATACCAGGGTGACCAGTGAACCGCAAAACTTTAGAACACCAGGAAAACTATTGGGAAATGTCTACAATTTCGATTAAAAATCGGGAAAAATGTACCTCCTTTCCTTGGAAACTTGGAAACTTTCCAAAGGTATTTGTCTGTGATAGACTTTCAAAAGTCTTTCAAGGATGATTAAGAACTTTAAAAAATCCAATGTTAATTTTAATGAATTTAAAGGATTCTAGGGATGACACCAAGGTATATCAGAGAAGAATACCAAAGTACAGACTACGAAAGTTTTATGTAAAATTAAGTGCTCTGATGACCGATTTCTTCTTCTCCGCTTAAATATTAAGCCAGGTTTACCTATATAGTTGAACTTGGCTTAACACATACGAGCGTCGCTTTTGATTATTGTTTAAATTATTAGAGACGCAAAAGTCAGCTCTGGAACAATTTTGGAAATAATTCACAATTATAGAGTGCATTTTAACGAGAGTTCTGAGAAGAATTCTATGATGATTGGATGAGGATTCTAGGTCCAATTCTAATAAGAATTCAAAATAAGCTCTGAAATTTTGCTTAAGGGGGCTCTGATAAAAATTCCATGAAAATCCCGTGAACTCCAAAGATGGTCTCTGCGGATAGTTCTAAAAGAATTCTGGGGTGATTTGTGACGATACTTGCAAGCGAATTCTAAAGAGTTCGAAATAAATTCCGAAAAGAATTCCAATAGAATCGAATTTTGAGGATTCAATCCCAAAGGAATTCTGAGAAGAGTTTCAAAGTTTGTGATGGATTTTTGTTTTGAGAATTCTGAGGAAATACTATGGGGATTCTGAGGAGAATACGAATTGAATTTCCAATTGAATGCAAGGGAGAAGTCCAAGATTATTCTAAGCAGAAATTTATGAAATTTCTGAGGTTAATGCATGGAAATTCTAAGGATGGATTTATGGAAGAAGCCTTCAGGGAGTTCCTAGAAGAATCAATTAAAAATCGAAAATAATCTGCTTTAACTACATAATCATGTGTTATTACTTCATGCGTGAATTTAACGAGTTACATAGTCGGAGATGCTTAACGTCAAATATCAGACTTAAAGCGAAAATTTTATACGATCGATTAAAAAGGTTAAATTATAGAGTTGATAGTTCCGTTATAGTACGGCAGTGTGAAAATTGTATATACAAAGAAGAATGCGAGCAAAGGACAATTTTGAGGAAGGTTCGAATCGGGTAGTTGTTTACGTCAGATGGCGACTTGAGTGTGAAACAATCGATAGAACTGTTTTCGCACATCAGAGGTACATGGGAAAATCGGCGATCATCCCTTTTACCAGTGGTGGCAGGGGGATAACGGATGAGCTTGGTAAAGGAGATGCTCTACCCTATTCGTACCTTCCTCAAAATTGTCCCTTGTTCGCTTTCTACTTTCTATATACAAATTTCACACTGCCACACTATAGCGGAACTATAAGCTCTTTACTTTCATCTCCTCATCTATCGTATAAAATGTCCACTTTAATTCTGATATTTGATGTTAAGCATTCCCAACTACGAAAATAATCTATTTCCAAGAATTTTGTTGATTGTTCTGCAAAGAATTTCAAGAATGCAATATTATGTTTGTAAAAGCTTATGTGCCTCTAAGTTTAAGGGAAGCTCGAAGGAAGGGGAATTCTAAAAAAAGTTCTTGAGATCATTCTGAATAAATTCTGTGGAAAGTTCATAGCAAATTATCAAAGTTATGTACCTAGATATATCAAATATTTAAAGATTTCGACCGCAGAATAAAATTCAAGATCATAAAAAATGGGAATTACTATTTGCTAGTCATCATGTACTACGTAAGCAAAAGTAAATTATTCAAATCACTTCAAATGCTCTTCACAGGAGATTCCGTTGTGAGATTCGATTAAATTAGAGGAATTTATGAAATTTGATTTTAAGTTCTATGACATATCAAACTGTGTTTGAATTTCTAAGTAACCAGACAAATGGTTTCTTATTCAGTATTTACAAGTCACTATTTGGTCACTATTTCCGTAATTTTAGTCACTAAAGTCACTACTATTATATCGCATCAGCACTACCAGCCCTGTAAGTACCAAACACATATATTTCTCATCCAAATGGGCTGAAAGTTTGGATTTACATGTAAAATTAAATGAAGATTATGGGGAAAATATTTAAATCTCTATCATGCTATGAAATTACATGTATGACTTACTATTCTGTGTAGTAAGGAGGATGAATTTTAGTAAAAGCCTACTGTAATTTTTCGTATACAATACAACTAATTTGCAACTGATTGTGGATGAATTATTGAATTGAATATAGGGCAAATGCATGTAATGTCGGCGTAAATGCCCCCAAATTGGGCCCATACATAAATTTAGAAATCGACTAAATTTTCAACAGCGACTAACAATATCCATTAGTACCGTCCCAATGACGCGTTCATCTAGATAAAATTAATAAATAGGAGATTTTAAGTGATGGGCCCAATCTTATATCCAAAGGCCAACATTAGAGCCATTTTCCCTTTTTAATCTCTTTTGATTTTCTTAGGTAAGGAAAATGGCTCTAATGGGATATTTCGCGGAAATAGTCATTGTTTACGTTTGCGTCATTGGCTCTTATGAAAGAGAAGCAGATATATGGTTGCATGCTCAGTAAGCATTGACGTTTTTCGACGACTCTACAACTCTTTACTCCTATGGTAAAATCCCATAAACATCTGACAATCTGTGCATGAAGTCTAGCGAACTTTGTCTCATCATGGTACCAGTGAGGCGCCGTCTCTTCACGCAAAACTTGGCAGTATCTTATGGGATTTGCATAGTAGTGAAAGGGTAAGGAAATAACGACCATGTTTCACTCACAGACTGACGTTTGCTGATGGGAATTTACCCTAGGAGTAAAGAGTTACAGAGTGGCCGAAAAAGCGATTTGTAAATTGTCAAGGTAATGCGGCCATTCTTTTTTTTCGGCTAGCTCTACAGGAGGCTTATCAAAGGATTTATGAACTAGTATTTTCATGTCGGTCAGAAGCCAATCAAGAGCGTTATATGCCAGAAGTATAGTTCACTGTGCTTTTAGTGAGTTAACTTATGAATGTTATGATTTCAGAACGAATTTCACATTGATTTCAAATTTGATTTAGGCCCTAGGGCTAAAAACTGAACCACTAGTGTCAAAAATAGTACACTAACTCTACATAAAATAGATTCATAGATTATTTTCGTTTGTAAATAGTGCTTAATGTTGGTAGGAAGAATAATCGTTCCTGGTAGCTTTGAGACAGCTAACTATGAGTCCCTGCCTGGGAAAAAAGTTCGTTAGGATCCTGTTTAGCCCCTCCTTTGCTATTTAAGATAACTTTTCCACGTTCTTTAGTACAAAGAAATTGAAGTAGATCTTTGTGTTGGGATTTGAGCAAAAAAAAAAACAAATGGCCGCAGTTGAGAAACATATGGTGGGTTGAATCCTTGGGTATCGAAGCACTCGATTTGATTTATCGTCCTGTTTGCGAAATTCTTCCGCATAAACCGGGTCACTTGTTGCAAAATTTAGCTGCTTCTCTCTGGACTTCAAAATGTATGCAGTTATGTATGCAGTCGTAATATTCCAAATGAATTCAAAGGTTGATGCAATCGGTGCTAAACAATTAGAACAAGTTTGATGAAAAAAATGGTACGTACATGTTTCTTCTAAGTTTCAGAAAAATATACCCGCGCAAATTTAGAATTAGAAGAATTAAACAAATTTTCGCGTGAAGTTTCCCCACATTTTTGTCATAACTACAGAAAAACAATACGTATCGCTTTCAAAATTGGCCTGTAAACAAAAAAAAAAATTGGCCAATATGGTAGCTTGCAATGACATTTCAGGATCAGTAGTTGGGTGGCAGGTCATTGCATAAAATATTAATATATGTTTTGCTGTGTGAAGCAAGGTGATGAATTTGTTATATACAGCTATACAGCTTAACATAAACGACGTAAATAGACATAAATTCAGAAGTGCTAAGAACTCATAGAATTATAAACCAGTTTATTATTTTAATAGAATTAACTACCCCTTGATTTCCTTTCTCATTTTACAGCTGGTATAATCAATTTGACAGATCGATGTCTTTCTATACCACATGAAATCACTGAAATTGGGTCGATTTTTGATGATCGTGTTTCTCATATGTTATGTATCCCCACTGGGACTTTTCGTCGGCTCACAACCGAGTGTTCTTTGAGCACTTCCTCGTTATTTGAGAGCTTTCTTAGTATATACCATTTTTGCATTAGTATTATTGTGTGGCAAATACAATCATACTCTATGCCTAGGGACTCAACAAACTTCTAGACCGGTTTAGTTCGGGTATTGAACTCAGCCGCCTTCAGCATGGTCTTGCTTTATAGCTGCGCCTTTACCGATTCAGCTAAGGCAGATCCCATAGAATTATGATGAGAATGCAAAATAAATTGAAAAACATCGTAGAGGAATTCTCTGGATAGTTCTAACGTAATTCTGGGTAGAATAACCAATGGAATTTGACTGTTAATTGCAGGTATTTTTGAGAAGTATTTCAAGAAAATTTTAAGGAAAATTAAAGATGAATTTCAAGGTAGTTTGGAAGAGACTATTATGGGGATTGTTAGTAGAATTCCAGGTAACTTTAAAGCAAATCCGATGGAATTTCAGGGATCATTATCATGGAAGGAGATTCA